ATCCTCCGTCCCGTTCCCAGAGCACCCAGACACAAGAACGTGAATCACTTTTGTTTTAGTTCACTGATTAAAACCAAAACATAAGAGAAACTATCCACTAAAAGAGCATGAAACAAAATGATCGTTTTGCAGCGCAGCTTAAATGAAACAAAAACAATAAAAAATGATGTGTCTCTGAGTTTATTTAATAAGATACAAATAAAAATGTGACATCACTGGATGTAATACCCACAGAGTTCCTAATGAATAAAAGGTTAGAGAACGATCACCAGTTCTGATCTACTCTTTAATTCAAATGAAGGGTTTGGAAATAAACTATCTTTGTGCTCATATGCAGAACCCACCTTTGAGGTCCTCTACCTGCATGTTTTCTGTGAGTCCTTGCACCAACACACCTCAGTAGATGATTAACAGGCTTCTGGGGAACCCGCGAGCATGCTGAAGAGCTGATTTAGTCATTGAATCAGGTGTGCTGGAGCAGGGAGACAGCTAAAACATGCAGATCAGTGGCCCTCCAGGGCCAGAATAAGATAGCCCTGGTACGAAGTGTCTTGATTTTTTTTCTTTACTATTAAGTTGCAGTCTCTGAAAGGAGACTGCTGACATAAGCAGAAAGCCTGAGCTGAAGGGGATTGCTCAAAAAGGAAATGCAGAGCCAGCAGAGATGTGTTTATTGATGTTTTGTAAAAGGAGCAGATTTATTATTTTTATTTGAACATTTAGAGCAGGGGTGCTCAATTACATTTGTTCAAGGGCTGGAGTTTTATCCAGCAGACACCGTGAGGGCCGGACGCTCTTCTAAAATAAGTATTATTGTATCTTAATTTTCTATCTAAACTGTTTTTATTGTAGTTTTAGTTGTGCTTGGAGAACGTCAACAATTATTGATATTTGGGACATGAATTTTTCTGCTAAACTCAAACTTCAAAGTCCCCTAATTGGGCCCGTGGAACGGTCTGGTGAGCCAGATGTGGCTCGTGGGCCACCAGTCGTGATTCAGTGATTTAGAATAACAGAGGTTCGTCGTTGGGTTCAAAGGTTCTGTTAGCACCCTGATCTGTTGGTACCATAGAGACCAGACCAAGATCCTAGATCACCAAAACAAAAAGGACCTTAAAGAAGGAACTAAAATAGATCCATAAGAATGTCTCATGAGTTGATTGCTCCAGTAACCCATTTCCTATCAGCAGGTCCTGCTTCACCAACATCTGACATGTCAGTCAAACTGCCTAAAATCAGGTTTTTCACTTTTCATGTATACCTTCAAATCCAAAAAGCTTAAATGACACTTCTACATCAGTTTTGTTTCAAAAGACTTTTTCTAAAATATACTTTCAAAAATACACCAGAAAAAAGATTCCTCTCAATTTTTGACTGTGTTACTAGCTTTATACTCAAATCCATCAGGCCAGAAAACCATCTACAAGGTATAAGATTCACATTACATCCTGCAGACCAGTCTAATGGAGTCCCCAAGGGGGCCCGACAAGATTGCATGGGGTCCCCATAATTTTATCTGTGCTAATGTTGTGAGTTTACCAGGATTATAATTGTAAAAAATAACACACCCAGAGTATAATCAAAACACTGCAAGGGCTCCATCCATCCATCCATCCATCCATCCATCCATCCATCCATCCATCATTTTCATCCGCTTATCCGAAGTCGGGTCGCGGGGGCAGTAATCTAAGGCGAGAGGCCCAGACTTCCCTCCCCCGTGCCCGGAAAACCTCACCAGGGAGGCGTCCAGGAGGCATCCTGACCAGATGCCCGAGCCACCTCAACTGGCTCCTCTCGATGTGGAGGAGCAGCGGGTCTACTCCGAACCCCTCCCGAATGACCGAGCTTCTCACCCTATCTCTAAGGGAGAGCCCAGCCACTCTTAGGAGAAAACTCATTTCAGCCGTTTGTATCCGCGATCTCGTTCCTTCGGTCACTACCCAAAGCTCATGACCATAGGTGAGGGTAGGAACGTAGATCGACCGGTAAATCGAGAGCTTCACCTTCTGACTCAGCTCTCTCTTCACCACGACAGACCGGTACAACGCCCGCATCACTGCAGATGCAGCACCAATCCGCCTATTGATCTCACGCTCCAGTTTTCCCTCACTCGTGAACAAGACCCCGAGAAACGTAAACTCCTCCACTTGGGGCAGGACCTCATCCCTGACCCGGAGAAGGCATTCTACCCTTTTCCGAATCAAGACCATGGTCTCAGATTTAGAGGAGCCGATTCTCATCCCTGCTGTTTCACACTCGCCTGCGAACCGCTCCAGCGAAAGCTGAAGATCACGTTCTGATGAAGCCAACAGGACCACATCATCTGCAAAAAGCAGAGACCTGATCCTCAGGCCACCAAAATGGATGCCCTTCACACCTTTCCTGTGCCTAAAAATCCTGTCCATAAAGGTAATGAACAGAATCCTGAGAAAGGGCAGCCTTGGCGGAGTCCAACTCTCACTGGGAATGAGCCCAACTTACTGCCGGCAATGTGGAACAAGCTCTAACACCGGTCATACAAGGACCTAACAGCCCCTATCAGAGGGCCTGGTACCCCATACTCCTGGAGTACCCTCCACAGGGACCCCCAAGGGACGCGGTCAAACGCCTTCTCCAAATCCACAAAACACATGTAGACTGGTTGGGCAAATTCCCACGCACCCTCCAGGATCCCCCTAAAAGTATAGAGCTGGTCCAGTGTTCCACGGCCAGGACGAAAACCACATTGCTCCTCCTGAATCTGAGGTTTAACAATCCGACGGACCCTCCTCTCCAGAACCCCTGAATAGACCTTACCAGGAAGGCTCAGGAGTGTGGTCCCCCTGTAGATGGAACACACCCTGCGGTCCCCCTTTTTAAATAAGGGGACCACCACCGCGGTCTGCCAATCCAGTGGGACTGCCCCTGATATCCACGCGATATTGCAGAGCCGTGTCAGCCAACACAGCCCCACAACTTCCAGAGCCTTAAAGTACTCCGGGGGGCAGATCTCATCCACCCCCGGAGCCTTGCCACAGAGGAGCTTTTTAACCACCTCAGTGACCTCAGCACCAGAGATTTGAGAGGCCAACCCAAAGTCCCCAGACTCAGCTTCCTCACTGGAAGACGTGTTGGTGGGATTGAGGAGGTCTTCCAAGTATTCTGCCCACCGATCCACAATGTCCTGAGTAGAGGTCAGCAGCACACCGTCCCCACTATAGACAGTGTTGGTAGTGCACTGCTTACCCCCCCCCCCCACCCCCACCCCACGACCCCCCACCCCACCACACCCCCACACCCCCTGAGGCACTGGATAGTGGACCAGAATCTCCTCAAAGCCGTACGGAAATCTTGCTCCACGGTCTCACCAAACTCCTCCCATGCCCGGGTTTTTGCCTTGGCGACCACCCGAGCCGTGTTCTGCTTGGACTGCCGGTACCCGTCAGCTGCCTCTGGAGTCCCACAGGCCAAAAAGACCTGATAGGACTCTTTCTTCAGCTTGACAGAATCCCTAACCGCCGGTGTCACCCAGCGGGTTTGGGGGTTGCCACCATGACAGGCACCGATGATCCTGCGACCACAACTCCGGTCGGCCGCCTCAACAATGGAGGCACGGAACAGGGTCCGTTCAGACTCCATGTCCCCCGCCTCCCCCGGAACATTTTGGAAGTTCTGTCGGAGGTGGGAATTGAAGCTCCTTCTGACAGGAGACTCTGCCAGACGTTCCCAGCAGACCCTTGCGATACATTTGGGCCTGTAAGGGCTATAACTAAATAATTATTTTTAATGTGTGTATGCAGGAGGTGGGGTTGGGGGGCCCTGGCTTGTCTTGGACACAGGCAAGGGGGCCATCATGGAATAAACGGCTGGGAACCACTGGTCTAGGCTAACTATCCAGCGGGAACCACCGAAACATTTTAATGTAAAAACGATGTTGAATTATAGGGTGGATTTCGTTTTTTTTTCTTTTGTACTGCTCAAAAATAGGCCTGAATTTGTAAACGTGTACAAACAAAAGTGTTGATAAGTGTCGGGATGCATCAAGAGCCTGCTGGTGTCAGGATGTGCTCCTGCAGCCTCCTGTGTCTCGTCTCCCTTTGTTAGTTTTGATTGAACTCACCTGCACTTTGTTACCCAACCCACCCGTTTCCCTGATTATCCTCTTGTGCTTCTCTGTGTCAGATCCTCGTCTTCCCAGTCTTGCCATTATTCATTTGAACAGTTCATCTTAAAATGGCACCTGCTTTCACTGCATACGTTTGGGTCCCAACAACAACTCCACGTCATGACAGCTGGAGAGACAAAGTTCTAGGAATACAGTTCGGAGCTGAACAAAATCACTGCGAAGGCCAGAAATGACCCCCAGGCTGCACTTTAGTCATGCATGCTAAGTCCTCTGTGTTAGTCATGTGGTCACCAGCTAAAATATGTCATCACGCTTAAATCACTGAATCTGGCACAATTTAATGATGGAATCACTGATTTAACTGTTCTTGTGAATAAACCAGTCAGGTGCATGAACCACCAGTCACCCAGACTCAAATCAAATGCACATTTTTAAGTTCTCTGCCCAGACTGGTCCAAATGTTCAGACCAAATGTGGAAGCCATTTCCAGAGCTGGAACATCCAGGATGAAACAGGCAAGTGTGAGAGTGAAGTCTCCTTGATTCACTTCTCAAATACAAACTTGCAGATCAGGAAGAAAGCATATGCTCACATTGTTTATGCAGCAGGTTTTTCCCTCGCCGTTAAAAAGTTATGCAGGGTAAGGACATAAGTTTATGAGCCCTCTGTTGAACAACAAAAGCTGCTTTATGGGCAGCAGGGGAACGGGGAAGTGTTAAAGCAGAACTGATTGCGGCTTAGATTGCCTTCCTAATACATGCCGGCTCGTGTGCGTATTTATTTCACCATTGTTTATGATCTACGAGCTTTTAACCAATTTCGCCTGGCCACCTTAAACTCGCTCCCGAGCGCGCGCCCGCGTGCGTCGCGGGAGGGTCTGACGGCAGTGAGATCATGTGAGAGTCCACGCTGGGAGAAAGTAGGTTAGCAGGGTAGACTGAGAGGAAAGCAGCTGGAGAGGGGGGCTTTCATCGTGGGACGGATCTGTCAGGAAACAAAAATCAAATAAAAGTTGACGCGGATCGGGTCGTCGCGGCGCTGCGGAAACGATGCGAGCCGGAGAGACTTCCCTCACTCTTTTATTTTGCTCGAACTTGATCGAGCGATAAAAACGGGAGACTTTTGGACACTTTTTGGTTCTTTTTTGTGCATCTTCAATCTGATTGCGACAAAATTAATATTTAAAGAGCCTTTTTTAAAATTATTTTCCGCTCCTGGATCCAGCGCTTAATTCACCCCAACCTCTTTTTCCAACACTGGCCCCATGTAGCCAAGTCTTCACCGTTCCTCCCAGAAAACAAAACACCAAAATGAGAGGTGAGTTGATTCCTGATAAATCGGTGCATGTGTTGTGTGGTTTTATGTGCGCCACATGTGTGCGCACAGAGACTCCGGTGCGCCTGTTTTCCAGCGCGCACTAATCTCCCATGACTGGATTATGGCTGCACAAGCGCCCGAGGAGGCGGTGTGCGACACGCCGAACTTTACAAATGAATGTCTCTTGAGAATATATTTATGAATGCATTAAATTAGTTTGGTGGAATAATTTTGAATAAAATCAGGTGAACCGTTTGCTCTGGTGCGTAATTGTGCCATGATGTCAGTGCCAGGAGCCTCACCTGAATAATCCGGTATCTTTTTTTTTTCAAATCTATGTAAGAGTTATGCAATGAGGAGAGGGAGGAGCATGAAGAAAGGTTGTTGTTAACCAAAACTACTATTAGTAATCGAGATGTTAATCGACCCGATTACAACAAAATATTAATTTTTTAATCTTATGTCTTTTGTACCCATTTGCTTAAAATGGGGGAAAGTGGTAAAAAAAAAGTGATATAACTCATTTTAATGATACTTTCCTAGTGACGACCATGCTTGATTACGTGCGTAATGTTGCGCGTTAGGTGTTGGATGGGTCTGAGCGGTGTTTGGTGCGGCTGTGGTGTTGTTATGATGGGGTGGCTGTGCCAGCATGGCCGCCTGCGTGAGTTCCAGAGGGAGACAGGCCCGGCTGTTCCACTGACCTAGTTATGTCACGCAGCTTTATACAGCATTCACAGCGGAGGGAGGGACGGGCAACTCAGGGAAGCGTCGAACCGCCCGACGCGCAACATCATGTGCGTTTGCATGCGCGCAGTGACGCTCGGTGCAATCCCAGTGATAGCTGCATGTTTTTTTAATGTGATATTAAAGCATAACAGATTAAAAGTGCAGCTGTTTTGTGCATGCAAAATCAGAAAAATAAGTTTTGAGAAAAGGACGAACAAGTCCTTCAGGGGTACTTCTGAGTAAAAAAAAAAGCTCATGAAATATGTATGTGGAGTAACCAGGTAGGTAGGTTTTAACGTTGCAAATCTGCAACGCCTGCCTCCAGAGGGTTAAAGGAATGACATCTGCAAAATTGGATTAAAATCCATTTTTAAACGACTTAAAGGTTGCTTCAGTATGGATTTTTTAGGGGTTTGCTTTCTTAAGATGGAAGGAAACATAGATGCCCCCTGCTTTCAAGTTAAGAAAGAGGGGAGGGGGGGACTAGACAGACAGACAGACAGACAGACAGAGAGAGAGAGAGAGAGAGAGAGAGAGAGACTTGGCCGAGAGAGAGAGAGAGAGAGAGAGAGAGAGAGAGAGAGAGAGAGAGAGAGAGAGAGAGAGAGAGAGAGAGAGAGAGAGAGAGAGAGAGAGAGAGAGAGAGAGAGAGAGAGAGAGAGAGAGAGACTTGGGCCTCTTGTGGAGGGAGGTTCCCTCTCTGGCAGGATATCCAAATGTAAACAAACTACAGCCCTCTCTTAGCCAGCTGGGCCAAATGATGTGGGTTTCTCTCACATAACCTGCTGCTTCCTCGTTGAAAACCCAGCATTTTGCAGTTTAAGCATACTTTCACAGTTGTTATGACGAGGAAAGTCATCTCTTACAGCTGTGCAACATTAGAGGCTTGACCTCTGACACTTCTCTGGTTTGCAGCTTCACGCATGTCTCCTAAATGCATTAAAAACTCAGTGGAGGATCATCACACCCTCATCACACACTGACGCCCTCCAGGAGAGGCCAGAGAATTGCTTAGCTCTGTTCTGTTTCCCCCCTCCGTGGGCCTCAGCCTGGCCTCCGCTGGTATTTGCATCTTTTAAAATAGAGTCCTCTGAAAGCGCCTGCAGCTAAACGGACAGTGCACGGGACTAGCCTTGAACACATTTCTGATTGACAAATGCATGAGCTTTAAGATGCTGAAAGGGGTAAGAGTTCACAAAACAGTGAACAAATCAAAGCATTTTCACTCGTGAGAAAGTCTGTAGGAAAACAAAGTTGCTTATGTAATGTCCAGAAGGAAAACAAACACTAGCTGTGATGCAGCGTTGTGCACGATTACTAAATGAGGCCCCCGCCTCCAGCTGGCTGTTCTAATTTTCTTTGGCCTTTTTATTGAGGAGGTGGTGAGAAAAGTCACATCAGTTACTTTTCCCTCAAGAGCTGTTTCTCATTGTATCATTTTTCATGAAATTGTAGCCTCCATAAAGCACGATCCCATGGAAATACAGGTGGCGCCTTGAGAGTGTGAATGCGGCGATGTGGCAGATAAGAATTCATCCTTTGCTTCAGTGCCGACACACAAACAGTTAGACACACTAGCCAGGAGGCACCTGTTGGGCAATTATCACCCTTTTTTTTCTCGTTAGATACAAAGAAGTGAGCTGCTGGAAGCACAAAGTCAGTGATTTTCCTCTTTGCCCCACCCAGAATAACCTCTCTCTGCTCAGATAACAAAGTTACACATTTAGCCGACTGATAAACCCTCTGAGGTTGATGCGTTTGTCTCGGTCTCGTCTCTGTTTGTTCTGTGAAAACTTTAGGGTGTGCTACACAAGGTTTCTGTCTCGGAGCTAAAAAAAAACCTGCTCTACTCGTACCTGCGTTTGTGCTTCGCGTTCATCAGAAGCTGTTTCCTATCAGGCCGATATGGCGAGTGCAAAACTCTCCATAACTCGTAGCACTTGGCAGAAAGCCGGTATTGATCTCTTTTAAATGCTTCGTATCTCAGGGGAGCTAAAGTTCAGAAACCTCTGACTGGTGTTGCTTCACAGGTCAGCAGGGTTAAAGGTAAATGTTTTTTTGTGCAGCATAGACAGCTAACTGTCATAAACAGGTTACCTTTTGTGACATGTTGGTGGTGATAAGTCAGTCCAGATGACACAACAACAATTATTCTGTTGACTAATTAACATGTTTAACCGAAGATGCAAATTATAAACAGACTCCAAAACTGTAAAGGTTATTTATTTCCAGATAGTCAAGGACAAAAGTAAATGACAGTAGGTTCAAAGTTTGAAAGTCTTTGCATTGCAGTATTTCCACACGGTTTTAATCGATAATGCAGAACAAAACTGGTTGTTGAAAATTATTCCTTTTAATCTGAAGCTTTTCTGTTTATATTTTCAATTTTTCTTTAATAATTGCTAATATCTGCACAGTCAAATTGGCCTTTAGAGTTTAGAGTCCAATGAATCCTGACTTTTTCTGCCTAAGGGTTTGTCAGCAAGTGAAATCCTGCACGTTTAGGGTCCAGATTGGTAAAAATTAGATAAAAAGCTGTCGCTCATCTCCCAACAGGAGCAAGAACAACCATGTGTTGGCTTCACAAATTCAATTCAAATTCAAAGATACTTTATTAATCCCAGAGGGAAATTAGACTTTCATGTTAAATGCAAGTTTCAAGGTTTTGTTGTTGGTTTTTAAGAATCTTACAGAGAAAATGTGTAGTTTTTACCATTAATCTTTGGAAATATCCATTGAAATGTTGTTGAAAAAATATTGGTGGCTTCTAGGGGTGTGTGTTGGTGAAATTCTGGAGATACGATACGTATCGTGATACAGGGGAGACGATACGATATATCACAATATATTGTGATACATTCATCTGGAGAATATTAGTGATTTTTAGACTGATTTTATTGTAGGAAAACTCAATAAACAGTCCAAACTGCTACGTAACATGTTTAGCATGAGGTATCTGAACCATAAAAGAGAGATTTACAGTTCAGTGATGAAAACAAAACCCATTGCACACTGCTGCCAACTAGTGGTCGGCCTTTGAACTGCACCAAAAGAAAATAAACTAAACAAATGTTTGCATTTAAATCCTTCCAAACATTTGATACATAGCTTTTGAATATCGATTTAATATAACAGGAAAAATATCACGATATATTGCCATGTCAATATTTTCTTACATCCCTCGTAGCTTTGTGACATATAACCATATAAATCAGGCCAAAAATACATGGAAGCAAGGCTAGGTCTCTGGGCAACGCCATGTTTCCTTTTACGGGAGCCCGTGAGGACAAAAGTCATTTATGGATTTGTAACAAATCGTTACAAAACTTTTGCCATTCATAAACATTGTTTTACACATTTACCTCTTCACTCCTGGCTAGTGATGAAAGAGAGTTTGTGGTGCTTGTCATTTTGCTGGAGGTTGCACTCCCCGGGATTTTTGACCCTTATGGCCATCCATTGGTAAGTTCTTACTCAAAGAGAAAAATGTCGCTTGATTGCGGTGATTTAGGTATGCACTGCCCCTTATCGCCAAAGAAAATACACATCGTCACTTTAATGATCTTAATGGAAACTCAACAGCATTATGTGTGTTTTTATTCTACCTTTCAGTCTTTTTGATTCATCTTTGTGTGCATGTGGATGTGTGTGTGGGTGTGTGAGGCTGCTTTGGGTGCTTGGCTGGGCATCCGAGTTAGTCTGGCTCTCAATGTGGGACAAAAATAGAATGAACTGAAGCAGAAGCTCAATGTCAAAGAGCAGGAACAGTGGGGGATGTTAACTGTCAACTTCAATGTTTGGATGGTTTGAGTGTCTTTTTTTTTTTTTTTTACTAAAACACCACAGTCTTAATTCTGATGAAATTATGAGATGAAAAAAATTCTGATTTAATTACTGAAGATTTTTAGGCTCGTTTCCTCCTTTATTTTGCTGTCATGTAATAAAGCCAATTTTCTAGTAACGTGGTTTATTGCAAAGTCTAATCGATGATCCATTCCACCTTAAAACAGCATGAAGCAGAATTGCACTGCTGCTGCCTCCTCCCTCCTCCTCTTGCAGTGGGAAAGTGTGTCAGTGGGACAGACCGTCCACCTGGGCTGACAGGCTCCAACTTTGGAGTGATGGATGACTCAGCCAATACGGAGGAGCAGCCAGCGCCGCACAGCCAGTGGGCAGGGAGAGAGTCTGGGGAAGGCGGGGCGTCTGCACTGCTGGAGTGAGCCTGCTCATTGAGTGTTGAGAAGAATGCTCACAGACAGGAGTTATATAAT